ACCGCAATTAAGGCAACGAGAACACAGAGGGAGCAATTGACCAGCCTTTTCCTAAATCAAAAATATTAGAAATAGCTGAAAATTCTAAAATTCTTCCTAAACTATAGTATTCAAAAGCACTGGAATAAAATATAACCAGATTATTTCAAGTGACTTAGTGGTAATACAGATGTTATACTTAAAACAATCCTATTAGAGGTTCAAAAATAGATAACATTTAAAACCTTTGGAACATCACACTTGAATTTTAGAATGTTCAACATTAGAACAATATACTGTAGATTTTATTCTAAACAATAAGAAACCTATTAAAAACAAATTAAATTAACCACATTAGTTTAAAAATTAGTAGAAATAACCATACTGGATTAAAAAATGAGAAAAGTTAACTATTCTCTGTAAAATCACAACAGGAGTTAACTATTTTAGTTAAAACAACATAGTAATTAATGATATCATCAGATGATGCAGCAAAAAACTAATTTTATTAGCCTAAACATTTGGAAAGCTAATCACCTACAGTGCCTTGCAAAAAATCTTCACCTCCCTGTGCTGGTAATACATTTTAGGTATTTTCTTGTGAAAGAAAGAACTCAAATGGCCAAATATATTTATTATGTTCATTTCACACCAGTTTCTAATGATTACAAAGAATAAAAGGTGCATTGTTATCCAATTTAGTGATATAACACCAAAAAATCTTGAAAACACATGTTGCAAAATTTTTCACCTCTCTCAGCTGTTACCATCATTGATTTAACTTTACGTCACTGCTCTGCTAAAGTAAAATACAAGTGGCTCTGTTCAATTCTATCAGATACCAAAGTATATTATAGAGCCATGTGAATAAATACTTTACATCATATAGAGCCATGAGTATTGATTTCAACAGAGTATTTTGAAATTTAAAATTTGGTTTACTGTTACATATTGAGAATGATGAGAAAAGAACTATCTACAGACCTAAGGGAGAATATTACTCAGAAGCACAATTCCACAGAAGGCTATAAATCAATTTCAAAAGTTCTCAGTTTGCCATTAAGTGCTGTAAAATCAGTTGTGAAGAAATGGAATGTGTGTTATACTACCTCAACCTTTCCAGGATCAGGTCACCCTAAGAAAGTCTGCACTCAAACAAGCAGAAAAATCATCAGAGAAGATATTGTCAAGCCAACAATGATACTGAAGCAGCTGAAAACTTCAATAGCAGCAACTGGAGTTACTGTACACACCCCGACAATATCATGTACCTTACCAGAGAAGATACTGTCAAGCCAACAGTGACACTGAAGCAGCTGAAAACTTCAATAGCAGCAACTGGAGTTACTGTACACACCCCGACAATATCATGTACCTTACACAAAAAAGGCTTGTATGGTAGGGTGACAAGATACAAACCACTACTGACGAAGATGCATCTCAGATCACATATGTACTATGCCCATAAACATTTCAATAACTCTACAACAATGTGGCAGAAACTTCTATAGTAAGATGAGACCAAAATAGAACTTTCGGGGCTAAATAACAAACAGTAATGTATGGCAGAAACCCAACACTGCTCGTGACCCAGCAAATACAGTCCAAACTGTCAAGCATAGTGGTGGGTCCATAATGCTGTGGGGATATTTTTCTGCAGTTGGTACTGGAGAAGTTGTACGCATTCAAGGGATCATGGACAGTGTAAAATATACACAGATGTTGGAGGTAAACCTGAAGAAGTCAGCTGAAAAATTAAACTTGGTCAAAGGTTTACATTTCAACAGAACAATGATCACAAATACAGATCAAAGGCAACTCAAAAATGGTTTTGCAGAAACAAAATTAAAGTTCTTGACAGATCAAGCCAAAGCCCAGACCTAAATCCACTTGAAAATCTGTGAAGAGACTTGAAAATTGCTGTGCATCAAAGACATCCTTCCAGCTTACAAGAACTGGAGGATACTTGCAAGCAGGAGTGGGCAAAAATATCTCCGGCATACTGTGCAAAGCTTGTGGAGGGTTATCCAAAACGACTTTCAGCTGTCATTGCTCCCAAAGAAGTTTCAACCAAATATTAACTACATAATTATCTTAGGGGTGAAGACTTTTGTAATGCGTTTTCAAGATTTTTTTTGTGTTATGTCACTAAATTGGGTAACAGTGCACCTTTTGTTCTTTGTAATCATTAGAAACTGGTCTGAAATTAATATAATAAATATTTTTGGCCATTGAGTTATGTCTTTCACAAGAAAATAACTAAAACTGATTACCAGCACAGGAGGGTGAAGACTTTTGTAAGGCACTGTATATGTAAACCTTTTGAGAATTTACCATCTCAAACTAAACATTACAGGAACTGTCTTTGTTTGTCTAAATATTACAGGAACTAACCATCATTGCCTAAGCACATTATAACATTTTAAACATATAGCTCAAACGTTGACCAAAAACTATTAAAGTGTAAAAGCACCAAGTCCAATTACCTTACAAGTTAAATAATGACAGATATTACTCATAAATTTTGAAGGGCAATATTTATCATTAGTCTGTATAACTTCTTTGGTTGGTCGTCACTTCAAAAATGGTTACTAAAAGCAAGCTTCAAGTTTTTTATTTAGCAATAAATAAAATACAGTATATTAATAGTATTAATAATAGACAAATTGCTTTTACTACTGGGATTTTACTTAGTTATTGGAATTTCTTACCTATAGGAGAGGCACCATCTTGTGGAAAAATGATTTATTTTACAATAACTTAGTGATTTCTGTTTGGTATCAGTTGTAGTAAATAGCACCAGCAGTCTATTAATAGTAAAAAAAAAAAACAATTTCAAGTCCTACATGTATTATGTTAATATATAAGGAATGGGCTTTAAACTATTGCAATAGTTCGCTTTTGTGTATAGAAATAAGATGAACTGACTCATCGCTCACAAAGTTTTCCTTCATAATTAGAACTTGATCATAAATCATTCTTAGCTACTGTGACTTGTTCACAATATCAAATAGCATAATTAATTACATTAAAAAACTAAATCACTGTTATACAGTAACACTAAATGATGCAGTATGATGTCACTCATATACAATCTTTAAAATAGAAACTGGTAAAATTATAATATCACATTTGTATTTTATATTTTTTAAAGAGTCTACATACCTGTTAAGTACTTTTTTCAAAATTGTAGAATCAAATTTTTCATGTTCCCTTAATTCGGTTTTCACAGTTACATACATCATGATATACAGCTGAAAGGATATTTTGTGATAAATATTAAACTGTCTATCTGACAGACAATTTCTTTGTTTTACCACTTACATCTAATAAGAATGGTTATAATGTATTCAGATGTATTTATTTGTACATCTTCATCTCAACTGTAATAAGTTACTAAAGAAATGGTTCAAAATATTATTAATATCCTGGACGTTTATTGCAGAAGCATTCTATATATATAGACTTGCAATGGCACATACATGCAAGCCAAATGTCTCGGTAAAGTTATTCAGGTCCTTTAAAAGTAAAATGTGAAAGAGTGGATCAAGACTCGTGAAAATAAAAGCAGCATTGAAACAAAATTTCTCTTTAGAATATTCTTTTAAATGACTGCTCATTGTGCTGATTATTTTCACTGTTTCTATACTGTTTAATACAGATCACATGGTAATGATACATATTATCAGTGTCAAACAAGTTATTGCACTTCAAACTGCATGTTGTTCTCTGTTTCTGTATATATTTCATTATAAAACTGTTACCTTGTTTGTTTGTTTGTAATTAAGCACAAAGCTACACAATGGGCAATCTGAGCTCTGCCCACCACGGGTATCAAAACCCGGTTTCTAGCGTTGTAAGTCCGCAGACATACCGCTGTGCCACTGGGGGACCAACTGTTACCAAATCAAACAAATGGTTATGAAGACTTTATTAACATATTTGTGACTATTTTCTCATCCACTTGAATACGTGTATTTAACAATGTGAGGTAATTAAAATGTACTTGAGGCCTTTAACAGTCTTGAAGTTTCTTTTCATAATAAATTCTAATATTGGCAATGTACATATATCAGTTATATAGAATTAAAAATATGAAAGTACCATAGGTTGTGCAAAAATATAACTTAACATATATATTTATTTTTTTTAATGTAAATGGTACCAGTTCAAAACTTCAGTTATTAATAATCATATTAACAGAAATGTCTGATGAGACAAAAGACTAAAAATTGATAAAGGAAAATCTCAAAACAAAATAAGTGTGTAGGGAAAAGGTCTTTTGCAAATCACCAATTCTTTAATTCTCAAGCAATAAGATCTACAATCACTTACTGACAACTATCACATTCTCTTCTTAAAATTGATTTATTTTTATCTTTTTCCCCTCAATAGATTAATTGTACTGTGGCATAAGACTCTTCAATTGTATCTATTTTTTTGCTTTACAAGATTAACCAGAAGCAAAAGTGTATGCTACAAAAATAAATTTTTAGTAAGTTTTAATAAGTATTAAATAGCAGCTTCAAGAATTAAAATCCAAATAAATGATTTTGTTTGTTTCTTTCTAATTAAGCAGAAAGCTATTACAATGGGCTATCTGTGCCATGCCCACTGTGTGTATCAAAACATTTTTTAGCATTGTAAGTCCTCGGACTTACTACTGAGCCACCAGGAGGCACCAAACAAATGAAAATGTTTTCCTATGTCCATAACAGTTACATTTTGAAAGGCATCTCACCACCCCACATTGAATATTAAATACATTACAGTTTGTACTTACTGCTATAACAATGCTTCCTGAAGACAGGAAAGCATAAAAGAATTTTGTTCCTTTTATCAGCCACCAGCTAGAACAGAAAGAACATTTTGTAAGATATTTAATTAACTGATAAAAACAATATTTAATTCATAATATCATATTGTAGAACAATAACAAAATGAGTAACTTCTAGAACATTTGGCTTGTTATTTGATAAATCATTAGTAAATTAGTATGTAGCAACATAACCATTAATTAAACTTTAATGTCTAGAAACAGGATGATGGAATGATAAGATGGAATATTTTGTTCCACTTTTGTAAAATCTCAACATAAATCAGTAATGCATTTTTCCTATACAATCATATGTGTGGGCCTAAATTAAAATACTAGAAATTTAGTGTAGCAAATAAAAAAACTTATTAAAAAATACACATTTTTTTATTTTGCAAATTTATTATTTTCTTTTTCATACTTTGGACAATCATGACTGATGTAATGTCACATGCCATCCAAACTTTAAAGCCTAATGTTTTAATATTCTAAATATACTAGAAACAAGGCATTAAGTTCCTTAATATTTAAATATTCCAATTATACAAGAAACAAAAATTTTTTTATAACAATCAAGTTATACGTTTGTATCTTACCTTTCAAACTCAAAACCATCTGGAACCTGGGCAGCCAAAGTTGCCCCAAGAACAATAACTGGAACAGCTGAGTAAAAAAAAAAAAAAAACCTTTAGAACAACAGTAGCAAAACACGTGTCACAACCGAACTAAACCCTTTACTTAAACATCAAATTAACAAATTTTAGAAATGTTTATCCATTTATAATTATATATTTTCTAAATAGCATTATAGATTGAGTGAATCAGCTCAACAAATGCTACGCTTCTATAGTGTGCAAGAAAATCTAAATAACAATTTAGAAGCTCATCTGCAGAGAAAGCTTGTTACAATATAACTGACATATTGCATAGTCAGTTAAATTACTTATATGTTAATTTATAGTTAAAATATATTGTGATATTTTGTGTAAATCAGCTGTTATTTCTTTAAGTAGCAATTAAAATAGTGCTTTGGTTTAAACATCCCAAAGTTCAAATATTCTGTTTTACACATACTGATTAATACCACTTGCTAATAAAATAATGTTTTCTTAAGAAAAGAAAATATATTTCTTTGAAAGTATATATATTAGGACATCAAGAAATAAATTTCACTTTTGAAACACTTTCATTAACCACCCCCAAAAAAACATACATCATGTATAAGAGTTAAATGAACTACTTAAACGTCACATTAGTGTAGCCTATATAAGGTGCAAAGTTTAGTATACTCTAATCCCTTGTAGTGATGGCACACGACAAGACACACATTTGGCATGTAATGCTGTTTGAATACAAGAAGGGAAACAATGCCTCTGTAGCCACAAAGAATGTCAAAGAAGTTTATGGAAATATTTTGAAAGTTCATAAGTGTTAACAATGGTTCAGCAAATTTTGTTCAGGTTATTTTAGCCTTAAAAACTGTGATGGCAAGGGTTGACATGTTGGAACTGATATTGATGCTCTGAAGATGTTTGTTGAGCCTAACCCAAGGCAACACACTCCTGAAATGGCCCAGAAATTGCATGTCTCTCATGACACAATACATAAATATCTACTTCATCTCTTCTGGCAAGTAATGCGCGTGAACCATTTTTGGACAGAACTGTCACCGGTGATGAAAAATGGATTCTCTATGCGAATATTAAACGCCAAAAACAATGGCTCAGTCCTAGACAAAAACCACTTCCGACCCCAAAACCTCGACTCCATCCGCAGAAAGTGATGCTTTGCATTTGATGGAACATCAAAGGGGTAATTCGTTTTGAACTCCTCAATCCACAGTGAACTGTCAATGCAGAGATGTATAGTTCTTCTTTACCACAACAATACATGTCCACATGTGGCACGTTTGATGCAACACAAGCTTATGGAGTTGGATTGGG